CTCTGACTTCGTGTAGGCTTCCGCTTCATCTAGTAATAAAGTTTATACCACCACATCACTTTCTAGTGCATTCCATTCACTAACTACTCTGACACTGAAAAAGTTTTTACTAATGTCACTGTGGCTCATTTGGGTACTCAGCTTCCACCTGTGTACCCTTGTGCTGTACCACCCGTGTTAAATAATCCATCCTTGTCTACCCTGTCAATTTTCCTGAGAATTTTGTATGTGGTGATCATGTCTCCCCGGGCTCTTCTGTCTTCCAGCGACGTGAGGTGTAGTTCCCTCAGCCTTTTCTCGTAACATGCCTTTTAGTTCTGGGACTAGTCTAGTGGCATACTTCTGAACTTTTTCCAGCTTCGTCTTGTGCTTGACAAGGTACGGTCTCCATACTGGGGCCGCATACTGCAGGATTGGTCTTACATACGTAGTATACAAGGTTCTGAAAGATTCCTTACACAGGTTTCTGAAGGCGGTTCTGATGTTAGCCAGCCTCGCATACGCCGCCGATATTATTCTTTTGATGTGGGCTTCAGGAGACAGGTTTGACGTGATATCAACTCCTAGATCTTTCTCTCTGTCCGTTTCGTAAAGGACTTCATCTCCCATTCAGTATCCAGTGTCTGGCATACTATTTCCTTCACCAAGTTTCATTACCTTACACTTACTTAGGTTGAACTTTAGTAGTCATTTGTTTGACCATTCGTTCAGTTTGTTTAGGTCATTTTGTAGCCTCATACTATCTTCCTCTGTCATAATCCTCCTCAAAATTTGCCTCATAATTTGTGTATGTGTGTGTGTGTGTGTGTGTACTCACCTAGTTGTACTCACCTAGTTGTGTTTGCGGGGGTTGAGCTCTGGCTCTTTGGTCCCGCCTCTCAACCGTCTCCAGTGTGTGTGTGTGTGTGTGTGTGTGTGTGTTCACCTATTTGCACTCACCTATTTGTGTCTGCAGGATCGAGCATTGACTCTTGGATCCCGCCTTTCGAGCATCGGTTGTTTACAGCAATGATTCCGGTCCTATTTCCCTATCATACCTAGTTTAAAAATTATGAATAGTATTTGCTTCCACAACCTGTTCCTTAAGTTCATTCAATTTTCCCAATACTCTCACGCTAAAAGAAAACTTCGTAACATCCATGTGTGTGTGTGTGTGTGTGTGTGTGTGTGTGTGTGTGTGTGTGTGTGTGTGTGTACTCACCTAGTTGTACTCACCTAGTTGTGTGTGTGTGTTTGTATGTGTGTACTCACCTAGTTGTACTCACCTAGTTGTGTCTGCAGGATCGAGCATTGACTCTTGGATCCCGCCTTTCGAGCATCGGTTGTTTACAGCAATGACTCCTGTCCCATTTCCCTATCATACCTGGTTTTAAAATTATGAATAGTATTTGCTTCCACAACCTGTTCCTGAAGTGCATTCCATTTCCCCACTACTCTCACGCTAAAAGAAAACTTCCTAACATCTCTGTGACTCATCTGAGTTTCAAGCTTCCATCCATGTCCTCTCGTTCTGTTACTATTCCGTGTGAACATTTCGTCTATGTCCACTCTGTCAATTCCTCTGAGTATCTTATACGTTCCTATCATGTCCCCCCTCTCCCTACTTCTTTCTAGTGTCGTAAGGCACAGTTCCCTCAGGCGTTCTTCATACCCCATCCCTCGTAGCTCTGGGACGAGTCTCGTTGCAAACCTCTGAACCTTTTCCAGTTTCATTATATGCTTCTTCAGATGGGGACTCCATGATGAGGCGGCATACTCTAAGACTGGCCTTACGTAGGCAGTGTAAAGCGCCCTAAATGCCTCCTTACTTAGGTTTCTGAATGATGTTCTAACTTTTGCCAGTGTAGAGTACGCTGCTGTCGTTATCCTATAAATATGTGCCTCAGGAGATAGATTAGGTGTTACGTCCACCCCCAGGTCTCTTTCACGCGTCGTTACAGGTAGGCTGTTCCCCTTCATTGTGTACTGTCCCTTTGGTCTCCTATCTCCTAGTCCCATTTCCATAACTCTACATTTGCTCGTGTTGAATTCTAGTAGCCATTTCTCTGACCATCTCTGCAATCTGTTCAGGTCCTCTTGGAGGATCCTGCAATCCTCATCTGTCACAACTCTTCTCATCAACTTTGCATCATCCGCAAACATCGACATGTAGGACTCTACGCCTGTAAACATGTCGTTAACATATACAAGAAATAGAATTGGTCCCAGCACCGATCCTTGTGGTACTCCACTTGTTACTGTTCGCCAGTCCGACTTCTCGCCCCTTACCGTAACTCTTTGGCTCCTTCCTGTTAGGTAGTTCCTTATCCATTCTAGGACCTTTCCCCCCACCCCCGCCTGCCTCTCGAGCTTGAACAGCAGTCTCATGTGCGGTACTGTATCAAAGGCTTTTTGGCAGTCCAGAAATATGCAGTCTGCCCAACCATCTCTGTCCTGTCTTATCCTCGTTATTTTATCATAGAATTCCAGAAGGTTTGTTAGGCACGATTTCCCTGTCCAGAACCCATGTTGATGTTTGCTCACAAACCTAATGTTCTCCAGGTGTGCAACCAGTCGTAGCCTAATTATTCTTTCCAGTATTTTACAGGGGATGCTTGTCAGTGATACAGGTCTGTAGTTAAGTGCCTCCTCCCTATCTCCTTTCTTGAAGATCGGCACGACATTTGCCTTCTTCCAGCAACTGGGCAATTCTCCTGACATAAGTGACTCATTAAAGATCATTGCCAGAGGCACGCTGAGGGCCTGTGCTGCTTCTTTTAGTATCCACGGTGATACTTTGTCTGGTCCAACTGCTTTAGTTGCATCTAGAGTTGTCAACTGTTTCATTACCTCCTCTGCTGTCACCTCTGTATCTGATAGTCTTTCATCTAGGGTAACCCCTTCCAACAATGGGAGCTGCTCAGGCTCGGTAGTGAACACTCCATGGAAACTGGCATTCAGTGCCTCGCAGATTTCCTTGTCACTTTCAGTATATGCCCCCTCTGTCTTCCTTAGTCTTGTCACTTGGTCGTTCACCGACATTTTTCTTCTTATATGACTGTGTAGTAACTTAGGTTGTTTTTTCGCTTTGATTGCAATATCGTTCTCATAGTCCCTTTCCGATGTTCATCTTATGTTAATGTAATCGTTCCTAGCTCTGTTGTATCTGCTTCTGTTGTCCTCTGTTCTTTGTCTTCTGTACTTCCTCCACTCCCGCCTGCTGGCCATTTTTGCTTCCTGACACTGTCTATTAAACCATGGGTTATTATATTCCTTCTTATTTTTTCCCTTTACCGTTGGTATAAATCTCTCTTCGGCCTCTTGGCATTTCTGTATGACTAGGTCCATCATATCTTGGACTGTTTTTCCTCTAATTTCTTCCTCCCACTGCACTTCACCCAGATAGTCCCTTATCCTCTTATAGTCCCCTTTCCTGTAGTCAGCTCTCCTTTCCCAGATCTCTTGTCCCATGGTCATAAGTTTGAATTCCATCATGTAGTCAAAGACTAGGACACAATGGTCACTGGCCCCTAGAGGTATTTCATGCTCTAAATTCTCGATATCTTCTACGTTCTGGGTGAAAATCAGGTCTAATAGGCTCGGTGCATCTCCTCCTCTTTCCCTTGTGTCTTCCTTCACATGTTGTGTCAGGAAATTCCTGTCTATAACATCTACTAATTTTGCTCCCCACGTTTCGTCCCCTCCATGGGGATTCCTTGATTCCCAATTTATCTCTCCATGATTTAGGTCCCCCATGATCAGCAGCTTCGCTCTCATTCTGTGGGCTAGTGTTGCTCCCTTCTGCAGTTCATCTATACATGCTTTGTTGTTGTCATCATACTCCTGCCTGGGTCTTCTACTGTTTGGTGGGGGATTGTAGATTACCAAGATCACAATCTGCCTCCCATCTACTGTCAGAGTTCCATGTATGAAGCTTGTGCACTCATTGGTAACTCGATTTCCCAGGTCTTCAAACTTCCATTTCCGCTTTATTAGGAGTGCTACTCCTCCTCCCTGTCTGTGTCCTCTCTTTTCGTATCACCTGGTACCCTTCAGGAAAGATTGCATCTGAGATCATGTCATTAATTTTAGTTGTGTGTGTGTGTGTACTCACCTAATTGTGCTTGCGGGGGTTGAGCTCTGGCTCTTTGGTCCCGCCTCTCAACCGTCAATCAACAGGTGTACAGGTTCCTGAGCCTATTGGGCTCTATCATATCTACACTTGAAACTGTGTATGGAGTCAGCCTCCACCACATCACTTCCTAATGCCATTTGTCAACCACTCTGACACTAAAAAAGTTCTTTCTAATATCTCTGACTCATTTGGGCATTCAGCTTCCACCTGTGTCCACACAGGTGGAAGCTTCCACCACACAAAGGGTGTGTGTGTGCGTGTGCGTGTGTGTGTGTGTGTCGGTGTCTGTGTGTGTGTGTGTGTGTGTGTGTGTGTGCGTGCGTGTGTGTGTGTCGGTGTGTGTGTATGTGTGTGTGTGTGTATGTGTGTCGGTGTGTGTGTATGTGTGTGTGTGTATGTGTGTCGGTGTGTGTGTGTGTGTCGGTGTGTGTGTGTGTGTATGTGTGTCGGTGTGTGTGTATGTGTGTGTGTGTATGTGTGTCGGTGTGTGTGTGTGTGTCGGTGGGTGTGTGTGTGTCGGTGTGTGTGTGTGTGTGTGTGTGTCGGGGTGTGTGTGTGTGTGTGTCGGTGTGTGTGTGTGTGTCGGTGTGTGTGTGTGTGTGTGTCGGTGTGTGTGTGTGTGTGTGTCGGTGTGTGTGTGTGTGTGTGTGTGTCGGTGTGTGTGTGTGTGTGTGTGTGTGTGTGTGTGTGTGTGTGTGGGTGTGTGTGTGTGTGTGTGTGTGTGTGTGTGTGTGTGTGTGTGTGTGTGTGTGTGTCGGTGTGTGTGTGTGTGTGTGTGTGTGTGTGTGTGTGTGTGTGTGTGTGTGTGTGTGTGTGTGTGTGTGTGTGTGTGTGTGTGGGTGTAGGGAGCGAGAAAGGTGGAGTTATATGACGCTCTTACACGTACCTCATGACGTCACTGTTGAGTCACGCCGGCAGGTTGGGTAAACTATGACGTCATCTCCTGCCCAGCTGAAGGATGCGAGTTGCCAACCTTTTTACAAATGTCATCATAGCAAGTAGCCAGTCTGTACGTCCAGGTGAGGGCGACGTCACTCTCCGAATGAATCCTGCAGACAGAGGGAGGAAAGTTCAGTGTTGCTAGTGTTTTGCCGAGGTATTTACCACTTGGGTTAAAGGGTGTGGGAAGGGGGAAGAAGTGTGGCCAACCGCAGCGCTCAATCTTACCATCACCTGCTCACTAACTTCCCCCATGCAGCGCGGTGTAGCTTATTACTTACAAACGGAATTAGTGAGAGCATAAACTGGGACAAAACTGGGACAAAACTGTGACTGTGAAGACTGGTCTGTGCACAAGCGGGAACAGGGAGTGCGAGATGCAGCAATGAGCTGAGCAACAATGTGAGAGGTGTGAGGGGGAGGTTTCAGGTGTCCAGGGAGGCATGAGCTACCAATCACGTGCCGTGTTCTCCCTCACCCTCACCAACCCAACATCCACCCCTCCACCTGTCATACTGCAATGCAACGTCAATATTGGGAATCAATGACGCATTATTGTGTATTGGTCGTATTTGTGAGGCTAATTGCGGGTGGTGGTGATGGGTGACAGGAGTCCAGTTGCTCGCCTGGTACCCCCCACAACCTGCCCTACCCCTCACAACCTGAAGTTCCCAAGCAATCTGTCCTACCTCTCACAACCTCTGCTTCCTCCACAACCTCTCGTAGGCCCACAACCTGTGCGACCACCACCAGCTGTGCTATCCCCACAACCTCTGCTACATATGAATATGTAGCACAGGTTGTGTGCTACATCATACGAATACGAATATGTCTATATGTCTATATAACTTCAGCTACCTCACACAACCCGGCCTCACTTCACCCATATAAAATTCTGACCCCAAAAATATCTAGGTGTGATAGTATGTTGTCGACTAGGGCTTAATTACCTCTGAAATTCAGCGTTAGGTTTTGTCAAATAGTTATGCAACCACTTACGAAACCTGTACATCTTTCCCTAATCTTGGCAGTTTTGTTTACATCTATTAAACCGTTTACTAGCTGGGAAACTTCACAGCCCAAGGTCGTTATCGTTATATATGAACCTCGTAGTGCTCCAGAGCTCGTAAACTATTTAATATATGTAAACAAATCCACCACGATTAGGGAAAGATGTACAGGTTTCGTAAGTGGTTGCCTAAATCCTTGATAAATCCTATATAGCCCCTGATTTAGAAAGTTTTAGCTGTAATATTTTGGGAAGCTTCAACTGCAGCATTCTGACAAATAATGTCTTAGCTGTGACATTCTATCTAAAAAGCTAGGCCTAAGCTGCGATATTGTGAACATGAAAGCTTAAGACAAATTTTTATCTCTGAACTTAGCAAGGCCTTCGATTGACTCTGTTCTTCGCGAGACGTTCATGAGGTAAATTTACATGCATGTTGAGTTGAAAGAAGGTTGAAGTGCTTGAAGAGTTGAAGATGGGAATAATCACAGATGGACTACCAAGGGTTCCAGAGGCCTATGTTTAGGCCGCAACCTTATTGAATACGCCGCCGTATTGACAGATTGAAAGAACACGAAAGAAGTGTCAAGCTTGCAGACACAAACAATAGTCTCTTCTGACATGTTAGGAACTCTATTTATCCTTAATACTGGTCATCTAAAATAATCTTTCCTGCCTCTACTCTTCATAGACGCCGTCTTGTTGAATCAGCTCTGATACACAACATGGCCAACCTTAGTGGGGGTAAAAATAGCCTTAGCTACTCTATCGCTTTGAGATGTATTTCTTTCTTGTCTCAATAAGCATACTTGAACTTGAACTTGAACCAACCTTAGTCCTGGCTTTATTGCTGTTGACTCTTCCCTTTCTCAGTACATACTTGAATGTGCTAACCTTCTTAACAAACGCGATGTGACTAAGAGCCTAAAGCTGCTAAAGCTCTTTCTTTTCTTTCGCTTATATTGCTCTCTTTTGTGTCTGTTTTTCACCTCTTTCCCTTCGCCAAAAGGCATTTTGCAGTTTTCCTTATTATTATTAACTCGTCTGGTATACTTCTTATATTCTCGCCTTTCTCCTCACATGCTTACCTTATATATTTACTTTCTCTAACACTGTTGACAACGACATGATAATGGTCCATGATGGACCAAAACGTCGTCTCTGCCTTTATTTTCAGATCTGTGGGAGGAGTGCCCAACATACCCAACTTACATGTGAGATGGTACTCGTAATATTGGCAACACTACAAATACAGTTTAATGTGAACAAAAACACATTTTTAAGCTTCTGAAAAAAAGCTGAAAAAGCAGGATTATACGGAAGTAGGATCTTCGAGAAAAGGTAATTATACGGAGAAAGCGCATAGCTAGTATGACTCAATAGCACTTGAAAGGAATATGAGGAACAAGGAGCTGGAATATAAGGACAAGGAACTGGAATATGAGGACAAGGAGCTGGAATATGAGGACAAGGAGCTGGAATATAAGGACAAGGAACTGGAATATGAGGACAAGGAGCTGGAATATGAGGACAAGGAGCTGGAATATGAGGACAAGGAACTGGAATATGAGGACAAGAAGCTGGAATATGAGAACAAGGAACTGGAATATGAGGTCAAGGAGCTGGAATATGAGAACAAGGAACTGGAATATGAGGACAAGGAGCTGGAATATGAGGACAAGGAACTGGAATATGAGGACAAGAAGCTGGAATATGAGGACAAGAAGCTGGAATATGAGAACAAGGAACTGGAATATGAGGTCAAGGAGCTGGAATATGAGGACAAGGAACTGGAATATGAGGACAAGGAGCTGGAATATGAGGACAAGGAGCTGGAATATGAGGACAAGAAGTTGGAATATGAGAACAAGGAACTGGAATATGAGGTCAAGGAGCTGGAATATGAGGACAAGGAACTGGAATATGAGGACAAGAAGCTGGAATATGAGAACAAGGAACTGGAATATGAGGTCAAGGAGCTGGAATATGAGGACAAGGAGCTGGAATGTGAAGGGCAAGAATCTCAGATAGAAAGACAGAATAGGTGCTGAGATATGAAGGCAGACAATGAGCTGGGATTAGAGCGCAATCCCAACCACTTTGATCATCGGGGATCGAACCCATCCTTGCAAGAACCGAGGAAGTCGTTGGATCGACCAGGCCAAGTAGATGGACAAGATCATTGGTTAAAGATATAGACGTCTCTAAAATCAAAACATTCGAGTGCGAAGGTACGAAATTAGACCGATAAGTTACTTGATTATATATCTAAATGCGCTAGAAATAGAAAGGTAGAAAGGCATGTGGGGAAAATTGCTTGACGGGAAGAAGGGGCACACTGTAGCAAGTACAAGGATGGTACAGTTGTGCAGGGGCAATGAGTGTGTTGGGAATGGGGTAGATAGAAAAGGACAAGAGGTACACTATCCTGTATGACCCTCTGGGGAAGTTAGGTCTTTTTCTCCAGTTGTTTCAAGGAGGTAGTTGGCCTTCACTGTGGGTCGTCCAGCTGCTCTACTGTCACTGGAGATACCGTCTCCTCAAGTCCATCCTTCTAACCTTGGAGACTGTAGCTTACATGTTCCTACAGTGACGTCCTCCGCAAACCCAGTCCATCAGTACTGCGCATACGCTGAGGAACCTGTTTCTGGCATCTCTAAGACTCATATGCGCTAGTCTAGTTTCCAATCCTAGTCTTTTGTGCTACTATTTCCAGTCTTGGAAATTGTGTTTGAATAAAAGTTTCAGCTCCCACGTAAGCAACAGCTCTTTATGGATTATTATTTCCTTAGGTTCGTCTTTACAGAAACACCCGGGGCCTTGCGTGCAGGCTCTCTCTGTTAAAAAGTGAAAGTCAACACAGCAGCGTGTAGAATGATGGTGGATCATACCTATTGTATCATACTACATTTGCCAGTCACCGCTATATTGTACCGAAACAAACGAGTATAACATTCTCGTCAAATTATGTGTACATAGCGACCGATAAAGGAATTTAAATGCACATGTTCTGTGGTCGGTAATGTCCGTGTGCGTTCGTTCATGTGTGAATGTATGTGTGCGTGCGTTAGTGTATGCGTGAGTTGAAACTAGACTTGTTAGCGCGCTCATTGTGCGGGTGATTTCAACGACCTGTTTGTCAGGAACAAAATTCCCCGAAACAGTTCATACGTGACAAATTTAATTGCTAGATGCGACTCCCCCTCCTGTTACTACACTCTGTTTACCTTATTAGGCTGACCACACTTTGTTTTTGTTGCAGGTACGAGCGACGGAGAGTGAATGAGGAGGCGGAGGCCCAGACCCCGAGTATCAAGGAGGCGCCGCCCACACGGGTCTCCACAGCGACGCATCCGCGGGAGAGTCAGTCTGAGCGAGACGGTGCCACAGACAGACGTGTGGTTCAGGACTCTCCTGGTCGCCAGTGCCCACAGTGCCGACTCCACCACCTGTGCTGTGTTGAACAATCTTAAGCTGTGCCACACGCAGCAATCATGGGAGTTGAGGACAAGAAGAAGAAGGTCCAGAAGGAGAGGCGTCCCGTGAAGCCTACGGAGCAATGTATCTGCCAGATCTGCACGTGCGGGTGAGTGTTTCTTGAGGTTCATCCCAGCTGGGACCCTTCCCACTTGTTGCTCCCGGTGGGTCGCCAGCCCCCCGGGAGCCCCCCCGGGGGCCTTTCCCTACACACCACTTTGTCTACAGGTCCACAGTGGCAGGATGTTGCTTACTGTTCCAAACTGGCAGCGTGCACACAGTTCTGAAGTCACAGCAAGTTGCTCAGTGCCAAAGTGGCAGAAAGTTACCACCAGTGCCAAAGTGGCAGCAAGTTCGCAACAGTGCCAAAAAGTTGGCCACAATTCCAAAGTGGCAGGTGGTTAATGGCGGGCGTGATGGCTGGCAGAGTGGAAGGGGCGGGGCCTTATTTGGTAGCGTGGCTCTCTCAGCCCCTCCTGCACTGTGCACATGTGAGGTGTAGCACCCACCACACCGCCCACGGACACACACACGCCCACGGACACGCCCACGGACACACGTCCAAGGACACGCCCACACACACACACACACAACCACAGACACACGCCCACGCACATACGCCTACACAGAGGTTCTGGTAGCTGAGCGGACAGCGCGCGGTACTCGTAATTCTGTGGCCCGGGTTCGATTCCCGGACAAGGAAGAAACAAATGGGCAAAGTTTCTTTCACCCTGATGCCCCTGTTACCTAGCAATAAATAGGTACCTGGGAGTTAGACAGCTGCTACGGAGCTGCTTCCTGGGTTTGTGTGTGTGTGGAAAAAAAAATTAGTTAGTAGTTAGAGTTGATTGACAGTTGAGAGGCGGGCCTAAAGAGCAGAGCTCAACCCCCGCAAGAACAACTAGGTGAATACACACACGCCCACACACACACGCCCACACACACACGCCCACACACACACGCCCACACACACACGCCCACACACACACGCCCACGGACACGCCCACGGACACGCCCACGGACACAGGCCCACACACACACGCCCACACATACACGCCCACGGACACAGGCCCACAGTGCGTAATACACTCAGAGTGCCCCGCCCTCCCCCCCCCCCCCCGAACACAAAGAGGGTCTCGTGGCCGAGTGGACAGCACTCAGGAGTCGTAGTCTAAAGAGCCCGGGTTCGATTCCCGCTCGAGGAAGAAACACGTGGTGCACCTGTTCACCTAGCAGTAAATAGATTCCCGGGAGTAAGACAGCTGCTACGGGCTGCATCCTGGGTGAGAGACACACAGTAGATGTGATAGAAACAAGTCAAGAGTCTTAATAATATTTAGACAACTGACAACAATATTAGACAACTGACGGGTAGAAAGGCGGGGTCCAAGAGCTAGCAGCTCAATGGAGGTGTCTACCTGTGGAGATGGAGGTAGTAGTGGTGGTGAGGGTGGTAGTGGTAGTGGTGGAGATGGAGGTGGTTGTGGGGGTAGTGGTGGCGGTGGTGGAGATGGTAGTGGTGGTGGTGGTGGTGGTGGTGGTGGTGGTGGTGATGGTGGTGGTGGTGGTGGTTGTGGTGGGCTGGGGGGCAGGGCAGGGAACCTGGCAGATCCAGCGGGCAACCTGTCAAGGGCGTAGCAAGGTGAAAGTCTGAACCCTTCGTCTCCACCACAACACTCGCTCCTACCCCACCACACTTGCCCCTCCACACACACCACACCTGCCCCTCCACACACCACACTTGCCCCTCCCCATCAATACCCTTACCATACCCCTACCCCAATTACCAACCCCCTTTTCCTTCCCCTCCCTCAACACATACCCCCCTACCCACCTCCCCCAACACATACCCTCTACCCACCTTCCCCTCCCCCAACACATGCCCCCTACCCACCTCCCCCTCCCTCAACATATACCCCCTACCCCCCCTTCCCCTCCCCCACTGCCCGTAGTAGGAAATGCCCACCCACCGGCCGGCTTGCTCTGGCACCACCCCATTCCTGGAGCCCAGCCCCATATATCCTTGACCCAACGCCTACGTGGACCCATACTCTCCATACTATCAACTAGTGGACCCATTTCTTGTTGAGATTCCCATTTATTTGGACCCGCATGTCCTTAGCTTATTTTCAGAAGCATATACCCATTGTGTGTGTGTCCCATCACTCGTGTGACCATTTGTGTACCACATCTTATACCCATTTCTTTTACCTAACGATCACGTACATTCATCCTCTCCTTATGCTCTCCTTTAGTGTCTGGCCTCCCACACCTGCACGCCCACCTACACGCCCACCTACACGCCCACCTGCACGCCCACCTGCACGCCCACCTGCACGCCCATACGTACTCTAGGCAGGACATACGGCGACTGGCCTCGTCAGTAATGATAGCTCGTGACAACCACACACAGGTCATGACAGTCAATGACAGTCACACACACAGGTCATGACAGTCAATGACAGTCACACCCCCTGCATGACAGTCACACACACAGCATGACAGTCACACACACAGCATGACAGTCACACACACAGCATGACAGTCACACACACAGCATGACAGTCACACACACAGCATGACAGTCACACACACAGCATGACAGTCACACACACAGCATGACAGTCACACACACAGCATGACAGTCAATGACAGTCACACACACAGCATGACAGTCAATGACAGTCACACACACAGCATGACAGTCACACACACAGCATGACAGTCACACACACAGCATGACAGTCAATGACAGTCACACACACAGCAGCTAGACGAACACATAGTCACATGAACAAGAGAGAGAACCCACATAACTGCACAATAATCCCAGAAGCGTTATAACCAACATTCACTCAACAAATGATATCATCATGATATCTAACCGACGTTACCACTGCATCAATGTGAAGAACGAATGATGTCAATACATGCCAATACAAATGTAATGCAGATATTGTGAATAGTCAGATGATGTCATAAGTTACTATGAAGATTTTGTGATGTCAACGAAGATTCTGAAATGTCATATTTCATGATCATATAATGCCTGAAACACCGCTGGCACGAAGCTTACACATCAACAGAAGATTTCGCAATTTGAATTATCGTCGAGATGGAATCAGAATCAGAAATGGAATACACAACAACTCATACAAGCCATTACAATAATTGTTGGACTGGACAGGTGTACATGCAGCGGCCTAAATAAAAACTTTACATGTTAGTCATAGAGTAACAACTAGCTTAAAATGTGAAAGGTTATATATATATTTTATATATATACTGGTATATATATATATATATATATATATATATATATATATATATATATATATATATATATATATATATATATATATATATTTTATATATATATATATGTCGTACCTAGTAGCCAGAACGCACTTCTCAGCGTACTATGCAAGGCCCAATTTGCCTAATAAGCCAAGTTTTCAAGAATTAATTGTTTTTCGACTACCTAACCTACCTAACCTAACCTAACTTTTTCGGCTACCTAACCTAACCTATAAAGATAGGTTAGGTTAGGTTAGGTTAGGTAGGGTTGGTTAGGTTCGGTCATATATCTACATTAATTTTAACTCCAATAAAAAAATTGACCTCATACATAATGAAATGAGCAGCTTTATCATTTCATAAGAAAAAAATTAGAGAAAATATATTAATTCAGGAAAACTTGACTTATTAGGCAAATCGGGCCTTGCATAGTAGGCTGAGAAGTGCGTTCTGGCTACTAGATACGACATATATATATATATATATATATATATATATATATATATATATATATATATATATATATATATATATATATATATATATATATACTGTATAGTGGAAACCCAAAGTGTAGTTAACTCGCTCGACAAGACGACATGAGGTCAGGAAAGACAGGAACGGAGCATGATGTCACGTCAAATTACCGGGAATCTTAACTGGTGCGAGACCTTAAGGGGTACTCACGTCATTAACGGATACCAACCCCCCCCCCCCCCCCCCGCCCTTCCCTGGACAGGGGCAGCCTCGTTGCCAAACCACAGTTTCCATTGATGAAAACATACAACTGGCAGCGCTGCACATATCGTCCTTTTCAAACAAGTAAACAAATCATTACAAATCAAAATAGAATATGATTCCAACAAATTTAAAAGCAAGAAAATAATAATCTCAATACACCATATATATTATACTGGTAACCAAGGCAACAACACATTGTGAAACACTTTATATCAGAATATATTGATATTCTATATCAGAATATCATAATATATTTATATCTTGCCCGAAACGCATTGCGTAATAGTGGCTTTAGGCATTGTATGTACTAGCTCTATCTATATATCAATCCATTAATGTAACATCACTTGTATGTATGTACCTTACCTGAATAAACATATTTATTTATATTTATATTTAGAATATGAAATATGGGAAATGTGCACCCTCCACTTCCAGAGGAAAACCCCTTACCCATACTGCAATATACCCTCCCCTTTCCCCAATATACCCTTCCCCATACCCAAATGGGTACACCTTGCCACATGGAAGATTAAGACATCACAGGTAGCCAAGAATGCAGTTACGGAGTAGTGTATGGTAGTGTGGCGAGTGTAGTGTGAAATATTGTGTTCATTGGAATACAGTGTGACAGAGTAGAGTAGAGGAGAGCTAGTAGTGTGGTGAGGAGCCGAGGAACAGTGTGGCTGAGAAGAGTAGTGTGGTAAGGAGCCGTGGACCGGTGTGGCAGAGAAGTGGTAAGGAGCCGAGGAACAGTGGTTTATGGAGTAAAGTGCCGCCAGGAGCCACGCCCCCACAGTGAGGGGGAGAGAGAGAACACCAGACTCACACAGCCTCACCACTCATCAGTACACACAAACTCCCCGCTAAGTCACTCACCCACCCACTGGCAACACACACACACACACACACACACACACACACACACACACACACACACACACACACACAACTGTTTGTGGTTGCAGCATGAAAATCGCAAAACTAGAACATGTTTTTGCACGCTCGCTTGCTTATTGTCTGTCTGTCTGTCTGTCTGTCTGTCTGTGTCTGTCTGTCTGTCTGTCTGTC